CAAGCCTCTTGGGTTCCCAGCTATGGATTGACTTGGTCTGGGACTTATTTGAGGCAGCAGCACAAGCAAACACAAGTGAGAGAACGCCATCCCCTAAGGGTGAGGAAGAACTGGCAAGTATTCATTCTAGAGACAGGAAGAACCTGCAGAGATGGATTGAAGCCAAATACCAATTCAGCTATAGGCTACCCCTTAAAGCAGGGTAACCTGCCAGTCTTAAGGCCTCTTATATTCTGTTCATAGGTCAAGTGTACCTCTACTTTGCCAACAGGTTCACGAGTCACTGCCCATTTATTAACTTTACCCTCAGGAGAACTCAGAGAAGTGCAACCCAAAAATACGGTGTCTGAAGGAGAGCTAACGTGTGTGAAAGACACATTAGAAAGCAGAAAATGTTGAACTTGGCTACCTGGCACTGGGGAGGGACTCAAGTATTTTCCAAAAGGTGATATGCATAAGACCCAGGAAGGATAAGAATTACGGGTTATCACAGAATGGTTTTACTAATTTCAAAGGGATCAAATTTGGAATGGGAGAGCAAAATCCCTGCTACCTTAACACCTTAGGACTCAGGTCTGCAAGGTCATCCAAGCGAGTCCATGGGATTGCAGCCATAGTCCTGACACCACTGAACGGTAGGCAAAATGCCTGTCTAGAAAGAGCTTGCGTTCGTCATTCGTACCTGCAGCTGATTGGAAATATTTCTGATAAACTGTGCTTTTGGTGGAACAAGTTGACTCACCCCAGCGATATCACTATTGCTGCAGAGCAGCAGCCCTGCCCGGTTCCCACGGAGTGAGGAGCTTGGAAGTCCCACGATTTCCAGCTAAGCTGGCAGGCCCTAACCTTTGGCAACCAAGATCATTTTGGTTTCAGCATTTTCAAAAGGATATGGCTGAACATTATTTCAGGACCACATGGCCAGATTTTTGCTATGTGCAGAAAGTTTTGAAAATGTGACTTCTCATTCCAAAACAGAACAACTACTCTTCACTTCTTCCAGCCCCAAAATTATAATACCCATGAGACAGGCCCACTGGCATTTGACTGGCTGTGGTCATACATCTCCCAGAGTTACATGTATTGGCCTGAAATCTTTGGGCTCCCAGTTCTACAGGAGGCTGGAGAAATATGAGATGCATGTGGAAGAGGTGGGAGTAGAAGAGGAGAAGAAAGAGGGCAGGATAGTTGCTTAATAATAACACCTTCTCCCTCCCTCCAGAATTAGCTGCAGTTTTACAAGGGGAAAGTGAAGCATAAAATAATCTGTATTGAGAGCAGTTCTTTATCATAAACATTTAGGAGAGGGAGGGTGATGTTTGTCACAGACTACAGGGGCTTGACACAGGGATTTTGTTGTTTCAGTGACAATTAGCTGAGCTTCGGCCGAGTCGGAAGGACTTCTAAGGCTGTGTGGATGTGATGGCATCGCCTGATGCCAAGACATAGCGCAGTGTGACCACTGGGCTCCTTTGAGGAAGGCTGTCTGGAAAAGCCAAGAGGCTGTTGGCGTTAGCAGACACTGGAATACCTGTGGCTGGGCTCTGTGGCATGGGTTTCAGTGTCCCTCAGGCATGCACCGCTGAGCTGCTTGTAGGGCCAGGCTGCCTGCTCCTGCACCCTTGTACCTGAGGTATCACTGTAGAGAGCTACTGGAGCCTTGGCTTGAACGAGGAGACAGGGGGGTCTTGAGGCCCTGGGGTTCTAATTTGAGAAAAGAGGGGAAATAGGACGATGCAGCCAGCACCTGTAAACCTGGTGGCCACATAAGCACACACAGCCGTGGGAGAGCTCCTCAGGAGCTGCGCTGCAGGCTCTCTTGGATAGGGATGCTCTTCTGGGCTTAGCGAACATGTTGAGCACAGCAGCAGAGTGCAGTATGCAGCAGATAATGGTCAGACTGCAGACTAAGCTTCCACAGAAAAGCTACAGATGTTCCTGCTTTTAGGGCATTTGAAATTAAAGCAGCCAGAGGCATTTTTTACATGCTACAGGAAACAATTCTGCATCAGCAGGGAACAGGTTCTCTCTCCTGTGACAACCCTTCTATCCTTAGGAACCAGCATTTTGTAAAGCCCACAAATCAAAGCTAACCCCCTCCCTGCTCTGAAAGCAGGCTATGTTTTAAATCTGTGTATTAGATTTTCTTTCTAAATTGTTTTATCCTCCTCTTGCAAACCCAAACAATTCCCAGACAGTGACTCGTGCTGACTAATCCAGTCTGGGAGACTTCTAGGTGTCCCTGTAACTTAAAACCAGAAAACAAGCTTCCTAATTCAGTAGCTAGACATTCCAATGAAGACCTGCAGGTTCTGCGCTTTTATTTTCCTTCTCCTCAGGGTTAAACATGCTTTTATCTACACCATGCCTCCCTCCCCCAGCAGGCAGGAGCTGAGATGAGCTGTAATTCGGACATTCTTTCCCCGAGATCCTGCCTACGTTAGAAGTTCTGCTCCACAGGGCATCCCAGTGGCAGAGTTAATGTGAGCCCTCAGCATAGTTAAACAGTGAAAAAAGGGAGACGAAGGGGGTGCCTAAAGTAATAGCTGAGACGTGTTCCCACATCATCTTAGAGACCTGTAAAGCCTCAGTGTTGTAAAAAGATAGGGGGCTACGTTTGAACTATATTTTTGGCCCATTTACAGTGCTGGACTGAGTCATATTTTAGTCATGTCTGGAAACCACAGTGTCATTACGAGGTCTTCCAGTATCATAGCAGTTGCAGTGGTGATAGGGTTATAAGCTGTAAATGCTGTGAATAAGGTCTGTCCTCGAGCAGATAGTGCAGATTTTATTGTCAGTTTTGTGACCACACATGTTAAACCAATAACAAGCACTTCCATGCCTGCTCCGAAAAAGTATATAACTTTTGGGCACAGCAAATTGCACCACGAATCCAAGCATGCTGTCTTGTGAGACAAGACACTGAAATGAGGGGAGAAGCCACGTAAACCAAAGGTAACCTACCTGTGTGGTCTTCCCAGGACGCCTGTGTTGAGTTGTACAGTGCCTTGCAGGCTGATAGTATTTAATAAGCTACTTTTGCTTTGGAGCCTGACTTAAGGATGCTTCCTCATTGCGCAAGTCAAACAAGGCAGGGTGGGAGAGCGCTCGTGACAATGGCCTTTATAATTAAAGGCCATTAAGGCCTTCAGTCGGGGTGTGAGGCACAACAAGAGGTCAGCAGCCTTTTACATTCTCCCTTGCCAGCCTCTCCTCTGGGAAAAAGCAGCCTCCAGCCTTTGCCTCTGTCACCTGTCACCTTTTTTGCCCTTTCCCTCTGCCTTCTCCACAGAGGTGTGGGGTTGTGCTGGCCTTTCTCAGCTGTCCAAAGAAGGAGTGGAGAAGCCACACAGAGGGAGCCCAGGGGGCTGACCGGCGCACGCATTGCCTGCTCTTTGTGTGCGCCGTGCTAGCCCCTCTGCCTGCTTTGCCAGCTCCCCTCAGCAGGGAGGAAGGCAGTTCCCTGGAGGGCGAGCGGGAAGAAGAGGGAGAGGAGGTGTCACCTATGTGCATGCAATGACACAGCCCCTGTGGGGGCTGGAGGGCTTGGGGCTTGGTGGGCCTCTCCACACGTCAGCTGGTTTTCAGGGCAGCCCAAGCTGCTGCTGTCAAGTGGACACTGCCTTTCCCACAAGGACGTGGAGTCTCAGCAGCAGCGCAATATGTGCATCAGGCCGAAATGGCCGTTGCAGTCCTATGCCTTGCCCACTTATACAAAATGAGAACTCTTCTAGTATGTTCTGTCTATAGTCTTCAAAAACTAGCTGCAAATGTCTACTGAGATGCCCTTGGATATAGTATTTTTGTTTTTGTTTTGACTGTCACTATTTGTAGCTCCTCTCCCCCTTGTGTTAAAGTGAGAAACAAAATGAGTATGCGCTCAGTCAATCATCCACCTCTGGACAAGCCCTCTTGGCTGTCACAGGGTAAGGAGGAGAACATGTGTGGTCGACCCTTGCAAATATATAAGTGTAATATTGTTAGGATAACATGGAATTGTGCCTGAAAAAAATGTCATACGGAGCAGGGTTACCAGTAACCACGTGTGTGTTAAGAATTGTGTGGTTCTGACCAGAGTATGATTAAGAGAGTTAATTCACATGGGTTAGAAGTTCTGGTATCTGGAGTTCAGTAACTCTCTTCTCTTAGTCTTCTGACCCTAATCTTAAAAATAACCCTATGAATCATCATTTGAGAGATGGAGTACTATCTGGCAAGTTGTCAGAAAAATTCTAATGGTTTCTTTTGTGATTTGTTTCTCACTGAGAGTGGCAGATGAAAGTAAATTTTAATATATACTTTATTGTATAAAAGCATACCACTGAAAACTTAATATAATGCAATGTATTCTGTAGGGCCAATATTAAAAATATTATATGGATAGATGTGCGTGTATATATATGTGTGTGTATATATATGTATGTATGTACAGATAGTGAGGCTTTCAGATTGCCCTTTCAATATTAACTGTTTTTTTTTTTTTCTCTGACTTTGACAGCCTGGTTCCCGCATATTAACGTTTCATTAACATCACTGTTTCATTATTTAGTTAAAGAGAAAAACAACCATTGAATTTCATAAGTAACATAACCCAAACTCTCTGTTTTGATGCTCCTGAAATAAGGTTCAGCTCATCAATATCAAACAGAATCCAACCTGAGTGGAAAAAGATTAAAGGAGAAAAATGAGAGCTACAGACAATCTTAGAATATTCAGATTTAATCAGAGATATAGTTCAATCACTAGGCCTACATACATCCAATGTCCCATCTCAGTCCCATTTTGATAGTCCTGTCGGACAGAAGGCCTTCTGCCAGGCAGCTCCATAGAGGAAGAATGACATTTTACAGTAAAAAAGAAAAAGAAATTAATAAAATGTATGGAAGCTTATTTTTGATGCTGTGAGTGACATACTGTCAATATCCTTTTTCTGATTGTTACTTTTTCTCTGGCAAATTTATTTTCTCCCTGATGAAAGAACGCACCAGGCCAATGTGCATACTTGTCAAACGTTTTATTTGTCATTCACACTAATTATGATATTGAATTTACAGAGGAAACTGTGGTACAAAGAAAGAAAGAAAGAAAGAAAGAAAGAAAGAAAGAAAGAAAGTCTTCATTAGAACTAACGCAGCAGTCCAGCTGCTCTGTGTGCTAGTTGTAATGAATTCTCCCGTGGTGCTGGACACAGCCATCACTATGTACAGCAAGAGTCTACTCTGACGTGGTATCTAGAGACTTCCTGTAGTGGGGGAAAAATCTACCCTATTCTTTTTTCCTATTTGGTAGCAGAAAACAGTGGCCTCCCCCTTCCCGCCCCCCAAAGAAAAATCCCCTGTAACCAAAACCAAGAAAGCAAACCTCCAGAACTTGATAGTTTCCCCTTCTGGAAATGTTCAGCATGACAGTGTCAAAGGAAAATGTGACTGTTCCAGTATGTTGCAGCATCTGTTTTGTAAACATATCCAGTAAATGCTGAACAAATACACTTTGATGCCATTCTGACAGGAGTGCGTTTCCCACTGTGTTCTCCTCTCAGACTTACCATACTGCCATCTCAGAGTGAAAGTTCAGTTTTTGTTTGAAAGAAAGATGTAACTATTGTATCCAGAATACCACAAATAACCCACAGATTTTTGCACATTCATTTCTCCCCTACCACAAAAAAGTGAAGAGTGTTGAATAGAGACCATGCTATAACTGTTTACAAAAGTGAATAAAATGTAGTTACTCTTGAAGCCTAAAATAACTAATTTGGAAAGAAATAAGTCTCACTACAGTATTTAAGCAAACACAAAGGTAAGTTCATTAAAAACACAGAAAAATGAAAAAAATGCAGAGTAATTACAAGCACTAACAATATTTTGCTATGAAGCTTTGGAAATCTATTTACATACATAAATACAAGTAACTCTGTTGATGCAACCCTTTAAGGACAAGGAGAAAAAAATGCCAAGTGATCAGTACTGACCAAGCAAGGTTAACAGAAATAAAATACTAGAATGTTATGATGCAGGAAAACAAGAAAGTGTTTTACTCAAACAGAAGATGATCCACTTTTCCTGAATCTTCAAATACCCTAGTGGAAAAGGTCATCCAGAAAGCAGTAATGAATGTTTCAAGAGTGCAAGCAATTCGGAACACTCTGACAAAGACTGTGGGCCATTTGGAGGAAACTGGTTTTCTCCTTTCCAGATGATAATTTGGCACAATTCTCCAAATAAAATCCTTAGGAGCAGTGATGCACTCTGGATTTGGCTCCACGTTACATAAAAGCTCCTTTACGTTGCTTTAGATGTATAACAGGACCTCTTGAAGTGAGCATAAATGTAGTTTAAGAGCAAAGTAATGGGCCTCAGAGCAATTGAGAACTGGGCTCTATATACTTATATTAATGGACTGATAAGGCTGCATCTGGACAAATTGTGTCTTGTGAAAGGAACACACCAGCTGACAGTAAGGGCTGTGATCAACCTTATTTTGTGAGGGGAAGGGAATCCAAGGCACTCTGCTGAACGCGACTTGTGAAGAGAAGCACTAGTATTTTTTTCATTCCATTCCGCAACTGGGATGATAAAACTATATGTATGTATGTATGTGTGTGTGTGTACACATACACACACACATTATATAAATTTATATATGCACACTATAATTTGGAGATGTGTCCATGGGGGAAACGTTTTATCCAAATGTCCTCTTTCTACCTGCTAAATGTTTTTGGATGTGAGAGGAATGACATAAAAGCATTTTTACAGCTCCAAGAGCTTTGCTGTTTTTAGTGGGCCAGGGGATGGCTTCAAAAATAGAGGCCTGAGGAAACTGTAGTTTCTCATAAACAGTTGAGTGAACACACTGTAACCCACAGTGATTAAACAGACTAATTGCACGGGATAATAAACTTAGATTTTCCTCTGTAAAGAGGATGCTTCTTTGGTCTTCTGTGCTTGACATACACAGAGAGGTTAGCCTCAAAAAATTATTTGCTAGCAATTATCCCAAACGAGACACTGAGAAATCCCAGGTTTTTGTTACATTTCAATAAAGACATGGGGTAAGTGTGGGAACCAATGCCGCAATTTCTTATACAGTTCACACCAGGGAGTGCAAAATTAAACCTCAGATTTAAGGCAAGTGTGAAGGAAGTACAAGTGTAGACATAAGAAATGTTAAATATTAGGAATAATCTGCAGGCCGAGGGATGCCATTTCTCCGTTCTTGTGAATCACTGCTGTTTTAGTTTCAAAAGTGCATAGTACAATACTATGGGCTTAAATGAACATAGTCGAAATCAGTTGTGGCTGTGGCGACAGACAGGCCTGGGAGTGTATGAACCGCATAAGCCTCACTTCTACCGCTAGGCCAAAGTCACCCAGCCACCGGCAGCCATGCCCTCCGCAGGGGGGCAGCTAGATTCTCTCTTCTTCCTCACTTTTGGGTTCATGCTCACAGTACTGTGCACTTGGGTGGTCCAGTCACAAGGTGGATGTGCAGCCTGTCGTAAATGATGATTTTAATTGCACAGCGACAGTTTTAGGGTTTGCAACAGAGCTACTGTTTAGTGATGAAGGACTTTTTTTTAGGCTACTGAAGAGGTGAGATACCAGCTAGGTAAAACGTCACAACAGGTAGGGTCTCCATATTTCCATATTCAGCAAGGTCTCCATGTTTCCAAAATATACTTTTAACTGTCCTGATATAACCTTTGATGCTTTCTGCCTTTTTGTTCAGAGCATACTCTCAAAAAAGGATAAATAATACTATGCTAAACACAGGCCATGTATGTATTTTAACAGAACCATTTTGAACTTTTGCTGAGATCTCTTGAAACACTCCCTATTTTCTGCACAAAAAAATGACCTTATTGACAATGTAAGATTCTTCAATTTGTAACTTTTCCATACCAAAGTGCTACTGCATCTGACTTAAACAAAGAAGCAAAATCATATAAAAAAGAAAACTTGAAAAACAAACGGTTTTAAATAAGTCCAGCTGTTTCGCTGCCTGCAGCCAAGGATCTTTTTAATTTGAATCCTTTTAATTTTTTTTTTTAACATCAAACACTGATCTGAAGTCCTGCTTTCAAATACTCTCTGAGTTGACCTGCAATTGTTTCACTCATTTAAGAGGTACATTAAATAACAATCAGATCATTTGGAACGCACACGTGTCAACATCAGCAGTTTGTAATTAATGAGTAGTACAACAACTGCATTCAGACCAAACCCTCAAATAAAATAGTGCCATAAACTTTACAGTGACATCTGATATGTTTGTGCTGTAACGATGGGCAACAATGACGACTCTGTATTAACATGCTGTTAGTATAAGCATTGCATATTTGCTACAGGACAGAAAATGTTGTGCACCAGTTTTAAATATCCTTCCTCTTCCCTCAGAACGTGGTGACTGTGGAACCGTTAAGGTCACTTCTCTGCTAGCCTGTTTTCCAGATGAGTTTGACAACCCTGTTCAGTTCTATTTATTTTGTGATGCATGAAATTAATCTATTTTCCAGTATGCTGGAACATAGCTTTTGTACTGCACAGAAATCTTGGCACCATTAAGCTAAGAGCAAATCTCACACTGATTCCATCAGAGCCAGGATTTCACCCTGGCCATACTAACTGTGCGTGGGTTTTGCATTTGAAAGAACTTTGAGGCCTCTGCCGGAGTTGTTAGGAAGACCAGGTAAGCTCAGCACCAGAATGGGGCCTTATGAGGATTTATTTAGTTAAAGGAGTATTCAGTCTGCTTTATGAACTATGTCTAACCTTATTACTGATCCTGAGGTTTGCCACTGGCATTGAAGGAAAAGTGGGGAAGGGGTGGGGAGAGATGACTCAACTGGATGGAAAGGCACAGAAATTCAGAGAGATTTTGGTGCCCAAATCATTTCAGTGGGAGTTGGGCACCTAAATACCTTTGAGGATCTGAGCTGAGTTAGCTGAGTAAAATGAAAGGGAGATAATTGTAAACAATATTTGCAGGTAATTAGGAGGTCACTTTACCCATCGTTATTCCAGCCTTTTTCAATGTGATAAATTTAACTTTGGCTGCTACCAAAAAAGGCAATTGCTGATCTTTTTAATATAGGCATATTTAAATAATAATAGTATCAACAAATAAGAAAAGTCTAAATATCAAGCATAAATATCAAGGAACTCATTAAAGTAGTACAGTAGTTGAAAATGACCCAAGGCTGTAGCCGTTGTATTAAAAAAAAGTCCAAGAGAAAAAAGTTAAATTACCTCATTGAAAAGGGGCTGATTCTTTCAGTTGACAAAGCAAGAAAGAAGCAAGCATGATTAAAACAAAAAAAAAAGTTAAATCTTTTTTTTTGCAATTTATAAGGTGCCAAGAGAAATAAAACAACTTAGATGCAAAGCAGGATGAGTTGCATCCTAAAAAAACCCCAAACAACAACAACAAAAAAAAACAAAAACAAAATAACAGCAATAAAAAAAATCCATACTCTTTGGAATATACAACATGGTTTAAAAAAAAAAAGAAAAAGTAAAGTCCAACATATAAAACCTCTCATTCACAGCATTGCTAAAACAGAAGCGTTCACAGTTTCCCTCTGGGAATCTTCCTATACTTCCTTATAGTTATACGTCCATAAGATGCAGTAAACTCACTAAGATTTTGTTAGGTTTTACATCTTAAAAATAGAAGTGAACTGAAACTTTCTTTAGGGCTGTGGAGACCTTCAAATCCAGGCATGTTTGGAAGCCACAGGCCTGAACACAGACTGAGTATCTGTCTACCCACCCTCATGACCTATAGACCACCAACTTAAATGTCCTCCTTTCCAGAAGTTCAGCCCTCCGCAAGGGGTACTTTGTTGGAATGACTTCACCAACCACACAGCTGACTGGCTAATACGTGCATCATTCCTGGAAGCACTGACTTCTGGATAGTTTGCTTCTGAAAGTGATGTATAAACATGTCAGGGCCCACAAGCAAGACAGGTGTTTATGGAATACCTATGGGCACTGGTAAATAGAAAGCACATTAGTCCTGGCCCATAACTACTTAAAATTCATTCAATATGGTCGCCATACTGCCTCCTCTAGCCTCGCTGTGGTACCCATGTTAGTAGGGGAGTTGCTGTGGCTCCCTTCTGCCTCGACCACATCGCTTTGGTTTGGAAGGTTGGGGTTGAGGAGTGTCGATCCCGTGGAAGCATTGGTGCAAGGTGGGTGGATACGTGGCGGGGACCGGTCTCCCCCAGAGATCATGGAGAACTGATACGACCCCGCAGAGGTCCCGTAATAGAGGTGGTAAGAAGGTGAGCTGGTCTGGAACGGGCTGCCCTGGGCCTGAGATGAACCAGGATATGGAGGTGGGAGATACGTGTGGTATCTTGTAGCCGTGGACATGGCAGACATACCGATTCCTATCCCTGAACTGACGGGTGTTGGAGTGTAGGTGAATGCTCCTGGGTAGTGCATCCGCGGATCAGAAATTGAGGGAAGAGTGGAGAATGAGCGATCAATTCCTACCCTGGGGTCACTGAACGCAGTCAAGTCTGAAGCACCTGGATTGTAGGGAAGGAAAACAGAGAAAACGTTAAACTGGCAGAACAGAATTTCACTTTTTTAAGGTGATAAACAACAGCCAAACTCTCTTCTACAATGAACCAAAGGAGTGCTGTTACTGAAAGAGCTACCCATACCTGATCTCTAATAAAGTCATTGCAACACTTGTAGATCTGGATGTTTTGGATTAATTTCAGTAGAGTGGCAATTAAAAAGGAGTGCCAAGCTCTCACCCTGTTTTGAATGTATATGTGTTTGCTCTTACAGACGTTACAGCACATAGAAGTATTTACACTTTCAGTGTGTCCTCATGCTCAGTGACTGGGTGGTGAAACAGGGACAAAGATCTCAAGTTCCTTGCTCTGAATCACATGCCTCACCAGTGACAATGAGGAGACTTAAATTTAAGCTGTGCAAGTTCTGCATAGTCTCTCCTTGCAAGCAATTTTATTTGCTGACTCAAAGGGGAAGCTTTACAGAGCATGAATTGCCCTTTAGGTACACTAACATAACGTTAGGTTTACACACACAGATTTAGCCCTTCTGTTAGTACTTAAGAATACAGCTCCATGTTGACTCTTAACGCTACCAAAGTCAAGATTAACCAGGTTCATTTAAGGTCTTTAAATCTGGGTCTTCATAGAATGTCTACATAATCATTACAAACTTCTGAAAATCTTTGCTGTAATTAGTATGTAAAAAATGACAACATTTCTAAAGCAGAATGATTTATACACACATACACACACACACACACACACACACACACACACACACACATATATATATATATACATATATATATGTATATTTTCATTTGTACTGGAAACCTGTTTCATCCAGCTGAGCTAAACACTTTATAGGACGGTCAAATTCTGCTTCCCTTTGTTTGACCCCAGTGAAAGTACACCCGGTCCCACCATTTCCTTCCCTGGTGTGTGGGGATTAAACGAGTAGAGCAGCTAATGGCCTCTTAGAAAGGATCTTCATCATGACTCAGATTAATGGAAGGTGTCAGTCCCTAGAGTTGGCAGCTAAGCATGATTAAAATAAAATAACTACAATAATAATTAAGAAGAAATCTTTTCCAGAAGACAACTTCTCCCGTCAGACAAGGCGCGGAGTTTGCAGAAGAGGAGCCATGCACTGAAGGAAACACTCATGAGAAGAAGCAGAAACAAAACAAAGTTCTTGACGACTGTGACTGGACTTAAAGCTAGAGCAGGCAAACTGCAGTGCCAGGTCCTGAAAGCTCATCAGCCACACAGCCAGAACACTTCACTAAATTTCTATACATTTCATAGAGAAGCTCTGATACAGGCTGTGCATTTTAGTTTTGAGTTTCTCGGTTTTTTTTCTTCTGGGAGATCAATGGGACCCTGAACACTCTTCCTTGCCCTATACCCTGGCACTTTTAGATTTAGCATGGCAAGATACCCTATGCTGTAGAATGGCAGGAGTAGCTTCAGAGTAGCTAAGGTTGAAGGTGGCCTCTGACAACCTGCCAGACTTCAAATGATCCTTCCACACCTCCTTCCTGAGAAAGAAACCAAACTTACTGGAGTTGCCTAGACACATCACTTATCAGATGAAGGTTTCTTCTGCTCAGTTTGACAAAAAGATAGTAATGAAACTTAACATGAAGGTGTTTCCAGTATGTCCTATATCCTTGCTTTTCCTTTTGAAGCACTGTATCTTTAGATAGTAGGGCCTAAAAACATCAAATTTGGTGTTTACTTTGATAGAGAAAAATGCCTTAGACGGCATGTGTGTGTGATAGTAACAGGATTAGGGAGAAAGTGTTGCAATACTGAATGACATTTAAAATAGAAGTAATATTTCAGAAGCCTTATAAAAACACTTAAAATGTGTAGAGGTGAACCTCGATGCACATAATTCAGATAGGAAAAAGATAACACTGACATGTGAAAGAAGCTCTTCTCGGTTCCTTCAAGAGTCATGGAAAAACCATGCCTGCCCCAAGGGAAATCACTTTGACCAGGGGCACATAAAGAAGAAATGCGCCCCAGTTCCTCTGAGGTGCTGCAGTGCTGCTGCTCTACCTCCACGCTCACCACGTGTCACGAAATGAACATGGCATGCTGTTACCCCACATGTACGTGTCTGTCTTTTGTTAGACTGTGCATTCCTCGGGGCAGAGACCATGGTGGGGCTTGGTGTTTGTACCACATGCAGCTGGGGCTTGGTGTTTGTACCACATGCAGCACAGTAAGAGTCCTGGTCCACAATGAGGATGTCTGGGCACTACAGTAATGCAAAGGTCTAATAGTAACAATAAAACATCTCTGCAGAGTGATGAGATCAGTTTTCAGACTCTCATTATGCTGTGAATAAAGTGAATTTGGGATACGTGGTATATTTCTTTTTCAGTAGAATTGGAAGAGATCTTCCTCTGAGTGATCAATCCTCAGTTTATGTGGAAGGGGAAGGATACAGACTTCCACTGCAGTGTACAGCACTGATAAAGTTCGATTAACAGCTCCACTCAGTCTGGATTCACCTATGCCCCCGCCACACACACACACACACACACACACACACACACACACACACACACACACACACACACACACTCACACAAACACATATGATGCACCCCTGTATTCTGTTTGAAAATCAAAATAGCTGATAATCATTATGATTTCAAACAAATCTGTGAACAAAAATGACTTTTCTAAATAAAAACCTTGACGAAATAATTTGTTTTATTTGAAAATTTCTGGTTGCTAGGAAGATCTTTTTTTTCCCCTTCTTGGTTTCCTCTATTTCTGCTTTTTACCAGTGGATAGGAGTGCAAGAGGAGGGAAACACTGGAGAAAAAGTAAAAAGGGACCTTTTTCATTTTTAAAAAGTTTGGTGTCTCAATGAAAAATGAGGATTTTTTTAGACTTTTTTAAAACAAGAATTTTTTGCAGAAACATTTCCTGCTTTTTCAACTTGCTCTCAAGATATAATTAGCACCCAGATCTAACAAATAACTTACTTTTGGTGGGCATCCTCCATGTGGCTTTTTCAAAGCAGGTTCTATTTGACAACAATAGGACAGGCTGGAGCACATTCAAATGATTCTCTCTGATCTCAGAAGAAGCCCTGAGTATTCAAATGAGAGCAATATGTGCGCCCAAATGAGATATTTTTCAAAAAGCTGTGAGTGAATTTGAATTACGTGGCGCTCAACTGATTTTAAGAAAATTCCTGCT